CAAGAGAATTGGAGCTACAATTGTTAGGAGTAGTCATGTCATCCTATAAGACCCTAAAACTAAAACTACTCGCACAGTTCAAATACTAGTACATTATTCCAACATCTGCGCGTTTTTCGTATTTTGGACCTCTATTTTTTCTTGGGACCTCTAAACTTTTTTGGGACCTCTAATTTTTTTTTGGGAACTCTATTTTATTTTTGGACCTCTAATTTTTTTTGGGACCTCTAAACTAGAAAAGAGCCGAAATTACTCCTGGAAATCAACTTTGAACGCGCCATAAAATCTGGGAAAAGATAAGTATTTAAAGCTCTGTTTTATCAGCCAAGAAACCTTATTAATTTTCATCCAGAAACAATAGTATTAGGCTTCTCAAAGTTTAGGATCCAAAATGTCAATTTTCGGGTGTTTTCCATTGAAAAAAGTTTCTGAGGTTCAGAATCAGATGTTAAAATGGTCCTGGATGTTCGCAATTGGGTTTTTCGGTATCAAAAAAAAATTGCTTATCGACAGGAAACCACATCAAATTTCAACCAGAAACGATAATTGTCGCTCAAAGTCCCTCAAAATTTTAGGAATGGTCCTGGACGTTTGTGATCACTTTTTCTGAATTAAAATATTTTTTTTCTATCTTATCAGCCAAAAACCTTTTCAATTTACATTCCAGCCTGTTTGCCGCACCTCCGGCGCTTCAAACAGCTAGCTGGTGGGCATTCGACGCGATTTAACCTATTTCCTTCAAAGTTCCCGTCAATTTATATCTAATTTTCAAGCTTTTCAAAAAATTTTATTATTCACGTAACGCAATAAATTATTAAATCAATCAATATTAGGTCACGCCCCCCCCCCCTCTTCGGTCCACGTGTAAAAAAATCCACGTATTGAAAAAAAAACAGTTCTCTGGGAAATCGCTCTCTTTGAATTTTATTGTTGGATAATTTTCACAAGCACTTTCTCTCTGGTAAGAAGCTCTTTGCATACGCTGCTTGTTGTTGTTTCTTTTGATTTTTTTCTGTCGATTGGTCCAATGCGAAAAAAGTACTAAAAGGCCCATAAGGGTCGCCATGTTTTGGGGTTCATGGCTAGGTGTTTATCACTGAACGTCCCCCAGTAGCAAGAGATTTTATCAAAGATTAAAAAAATTGAAACAACAATGAAAAGCGGTATGCAATGTGGCTTCTTATCAGGGAGAAGGAGCTTTTGAAAATTAACCGACAATGGTCTCCGAACAGAGGGGTTTTTCGGCTGACTTCTTGTTTTTTTTTGTTAGGAAGTGGGGACCCCTCCCCCACCTCCAATGGGTTTTAGAAGGTAGTCCCATTGGTCAAATAAACCTTGTTTCCCTTTCTGTACTGAGCCTCTACGTGGCGAAAGGGATCAACAGACTTTCTAGTCTGGCTAATCAGTACACTTCTCGAAACCTTGTTACTTTTCATAAAGTTTAACTTCCATAATAAACTACAACCGCAGCCAAACATGTCTTTGACTGCCGATCCACCCGCATGCCAGCCGCCGGAGATACCTCGACCCACAAATTGGTCAATGGAGAAGCCGACAAGCTCATCTTCAAGATCAAGTCGTCAAACAACAATGAGTACCGTATCACCCCAGTGTTCAGATTCATCGACCCATCTGGACGTCACCGTCACTCGCACTGCTGGAGCATTAAAGGAGGACAAGCTCGTCATCCACTTTTCCAACGCCCCACCTGCGGCCACTGACGCTAAGGCTGCTTTCTCTGCTGTCACTCCAGCTGGAACTGTCACGATTCTAATGTCGGCTGCAGCTTAAACTCTATTCTTTCAATAAAAAATGGTTGATGCTTTAAAAACCCTTTTCACTTTTTTTTTCAAACGTCCAAATATCACTTGATTCTTCGAAAAGCTTTTTTAACCTCATTTTTCAGGTCTTTTAAACACACATACAGTACCGAAATATACAAAAACTAATTTTTCAGATGATTCACCAGCAAGCTGGTGCGCCTTCGGCGCTTTTTCTTAAAGGGTCACGTTAATCTATATTTACTAGTCTAGCTTTCCAAAAGTCCACAGACTTTCATCAGAACAGATATGTCTAGTGTTTTATACCAGTTAACTGGTGCGCCTCCGGCGTGATTTGACCTAATATATGTATACTGTTTCGTCGCTCTCGTCTTCTCATTTTTTCTAAAAGGCTCATGTAAAGCTATTTTCATTTTTCAAGCTTTTCAAAAGTCGACAGACTGACAGGGGGACCAGCAGACGCGTGTAGCGTATAAGGAATTTATTTTTTAAATTTCCCATACACGGAAACCGAAACGCTCCCTTTTTCTTACTCCCAATAGAAATAGGTTCCCAAAAAAGGCTAAAAGAAGTTTATGGTCCTCTTTGAACCCCCGAATCTTTTAAAAAAGTGCCTTCCCACTTTCTCAGATGCTTTCCCAACTCAGAATTTCAATTAGGCGATTAAAGGAATTGTTCAGCTTTAACCACGTTTTTCGGAGTTCCCAACTTTTTTACCTATTTTAAATAGGGTATCATTTTGATCCTCATTTCCTTCTCTATCTGACTCTACTAGGATCTTTCAGGTTACAGTACTCCAGGAAATTTTACAAAGCTTCTTTGAATTCTTCTCCAACAAAATTATAAAAACAACAATCGACTCTTCTCCCCCCACTCCATTTCTCTCTTTTTACGACCTCGTTGTACGTCCCCTCACCGAGCCTATCTGTTGAATTGTGTCCCCTTTTTCTCCCTTCTTTTTTCCTTTTTTTCTTCTTTTAGCATCATACAGGCCTCAAATGTATCATGGGGTGATGGAAGACCGAGAGAGTATTGGCGCCTGTAGAGACGGCAGAGAAATATAGGAAAAGATGGATGGGAGAGTGAGGGACATTGGTTCCCTCTGACTCTCTTTTCGTCAGTTTTCGCCCCGGTTTTACGCTTATATTTTGGGTTTTTTTGTTTTCTCTCTCTCTCTCTCTCTCTCTCTCTCTCTCTCTCTCTCTTTCTCTTTTCCTCGATTAGTTCAATTTTGGCAGTTTCACTTTTTATAAAGAAGGTTTTGGTAGTACACAATTAAACATAATTATAGGAACCTGAATTCGAAATTAGGATCTGCGAATTTCGAAAATCGACAGATGGTTCTCGAAATTTTGAGTTTGGAGCCAGAATTTTGTAATTCCGCATTTCCTGGAATTTCTGAATTTCTGAATTTCTGAATTTCTGAATTTCTGAATTTCTGAATTTCTGAATTTCTGAATTTCTGAATTTCTGAATTTCTGAATTTCTGAATTTCTGAATTTCTGAATTTCTGAATTTCTGAATTTCTGAATTTCTGAATTTCTGAATTTCTGAATTTCTGAATTTCTGAATTTCTGAATTTCTGAATTTCTGAATTTCTGAATTTCTGAATTTCTGAATTTCTGAATTTCTGAATTTCTGAATTTCTGAATTTCTGAATTTCTGAATTTCTGAGTTTCTGAATTTCTGAATTTCAAAATCCCATTTTCAAAAAACACTCCAATTTATTTTTCTTCTTTTTTTTTGAGAATTCTGCCCGTTTGGAACATGAGTCATCCTATGATTTTTTCTTCTTTTTTCCTCTCTTCTCCGACACCTGCTTGCAATATCATACAGGAAATTCGAGAAGACAATTTTTTTTTAGTGCTGGGAAACAACGTAATTGTTTTTCTAGGTGTAGGGGTACTGTAGTTTTCAGAAAATCTGGAATTTCGAGAGTTATACAGTTTGAAAACATTCTGTCTGTAATTATCGAAATTCTGGAACCTTGAAATTATGAAATTCCTGCTTTTTAAATTTTCGAAACGCAAAAAATTCGCGATTCTGAAATATTTCAAGTTTTGAAATTTTTTGAAAATTGTAGAAATTTTAAAAGTTGTGAAGATCCTCGAATTTTTAATTTATGGAAAAACCGTAATTTCTTAAATAGAAGCCCACAATATACGAGCAGTTTAAGCTCAATTATCTCGGTCCCTTTGAACGATATCAAAACACTGTCAACTGATGAAATGCTTGTCGTAATATCAGCAATATTTTACCAATTGACACATTTTTGATATCTTCTGAAAGAACCGAGAAAAATTGGATCAAAGTTAAATGTAAGCGTGTCCTTCTATTATAGGTTTTCCGATATGTGAAACTCAAGAATTCTGGAATTTTCTGAAACTCACAAACCATCTAGTTTTTTCATTTTCTACTAAATCAAAGTTCTTTTTCAGAATGTTCAACAACGTAGATTCTGGAATTCTAATTCCACCAACCACGCCAATGCCAGTGAACAGCAACAGTAAGCTCGTTAGCAAGGATAAGAGGTGGTTAGAGGTAATTAATCAGACTAATTAGCCATTTTTCGAATCGCTTATAAAACCTCCAATAGAATGACCCCCTTCCTCAACTTTCAAGTCAATTTGTCTCGGTCCCTGGGAAAGATATAGGGAATTTCAGATTAGAGACGCCTTTAAAATAAAGTCTTTAAATTTTAAATTGCTTTAGAGCAAAAATAATTTATCTAGCTTCACTAGCAGCCAAGATATGACTAGTTGAAATTTCGGATGCTAGAGACGCAGACAACGAGACACTCTAATTTTCTGCGTCTCTTCAAAACTTAAACAGGCCGTATCTCGGGTTCTAGATAAGCTAGAAACTTGGTTTTTCGACCAAAATGAAGGATTTGATTCGTCTTCTTAGATTACAAAAACAATCTGAGATAATTTTCGGAATTTTTTCGGTTCCTGGCGAAGACATCGAAAAGTTGTCAACTGACAAATTGTTAATCAGAATAGCACCAATAATTTTGCAGTTGACAGAATTTCGATATCTTTTACAGGAACCAGATATGTAGGCTCAACGTGCATAGACTTACTTATATTACAGCAAATACGGTAACTTTCCGCTTCCAATGTTGGTCAAGTTGGAGTATATTTAATTACCTAATTACCCCTAATTACACAAATCCCAATTAAAGATCGAAGTGTGTCGGGAACAGTTGCGTGGAACATGCGAACGCGGCGATAACTGCAAATTTGCTCATCCACCAAAACATATGGACCTGATTCCCGGCCAAAAAGTCACAGTGTGCTATGATAGTATGCGGGTAGGTTTTTGACTTGAGTTATCTCGGCTCCTATGAGAGATATCAAAAAGTGGCCAACTGATAAATTGTTTTTGAGATTATGATAAACATTTTATCAGTTAACAAATTTTTGATATCTTTCACAGGAATCGAGGTAATTTAGCTCGAAGTGCACGCGTAGCCTGGGAGCAAATTTTTGCTTATTTTTTTCCTGAAAATTGAGATGGTTTTGTTTGGAGTGCGTACCAAATTGAGTTTCTACCAAATTGCCTATTTTTCAGGATAGATGCACACGTGTCAAGTGTAATTATCTGCATCCACCACGACAGCTAAAAGAGCAAATCATGATGGCCGGAAAAGTGAACATGCAGATGAGAAATGCAGTCATGTTGGGATTGATTCCGGTGAGATTCGTTCAAAGTCTTCAAAATTTGAAACATTTTCCAGCAAAAAACACTAATCTAGCCTTACTAGAAGCCAAGATAATATCTCCATATTATAATATATCCATATTATGGCAATTTAAGGTTTTGAAGTCTAGAGACGCAGACAACGAGACACTCTGAATGTCTGCGTCTCTTCAAAACTTCAAATGACCGTATCTCGGGTTCTAGTTTAGCTAGAAACGCGGTTTTTGGACAGAATTGAAGGATCTGATTACTATTTCCTAGATTACAAAAAAAACATTAAAAATTTTTGAAATTATTTATTTATTTTCCAACAACATCAAGGAACTGAGATACTGTCGAATCGGTAATAAAAGGCTTCTTAAAAATTAAAACTGAAAATAATGAACAAATCCTTCATTTTGGTCACATTTTTGGCAAAAAATTCGGGGGGGGGGGGGTACAATGATTCGGGGGTACAAGGGGGTACAACTGATTTAGGGGTACAAAATTGGTGATTCGTGGGTACAAAAATTCGGGGGTACAACGATTCGGGGGTACAAACTATCAATGATTCTGGGGTACAACTTATTTCATTTAGGGGTACAACGTTTGTGATTCGGGGGTACAATTTCTCTTTGACGAAGTTTCTGAATTCCTGAATTTCAGAGCTTGAAAATCTCTGAATTCTTAGAATTTCAGAACTTTGGAATTCCAGTATTCCGGAATTTGAAAATTTCGGATCTTCAGAATCTGAGAATCTGAGAATTTCGGATCTTCAGAATCTGAGAATGCTAAAACTTCAAAATCTCAGAACTTCGGAACTTCAAAACTTCAGGACTTTAGAATCTCAATATTTCAAGAAAGACAGTGGAGAACTGTGAAATGATTTAACGGATTTTAATGCCAGTCGATACTTTCCTCACTTCCAATTTTTCTCAATTTTATGTCTAAATTCTTTTTCATTTCCTTTTGTTTCTCAATATTCCTTCGTTTTTTCCCAATTTTCCGTGTTTCCCAATTTTTCTCAATTTTCCTTAATTTTCGCGGTAATTTAAATTTTTCTCATTTTTAAATGATTTTCTAGATCATTGATTGAAGGAAACAATCACAATTTAGATATTTCCCACAAAATTCGAAAATCCCAAAAATTGGCCCAAAATGAGCTATTTTCTTTCGAAAATCGTTCGAACAGGCAATAAAACATTACAAAACCTATAAAATTGATTTTTTTTCGATAAATTACAACGAAAATTTGAGCAAAAATGATGAAAAACG